TAAAATTGTTTTGGTCAATTCAAACTGGTCGCTGATGACATATTATATTGAATTCAATCCCCAAATGTATGCTTTGGGCTCCAAATTTCAAAGGTGTAGCAAAGAGAGCAAATTGCATTTAGTGATGTGACTCATAAATTATATTTATAATCGAAATTAATGAACGACTTATACGGGAATGAACACCACGAATGATACAACGCACATATCCCAATTGACAAATACGTCGTATATACCAATCGACGGATTGGCGTTATTTGATAATTGCGACTTATATCGCAATGAGACCTATATATTGTAATTTGCGAAATTGCTGATGCGATTTATATACCGCAAATGACAAATGGCACTTATGTAATTCTACTAATATATCCCAATGTGTCATATAAATATCCTGACTAGAAATAAAGCGCGTTCGCTTTCCCCTTCCTCCGCTATCACAACCCATCTCCTCGCCCCTTCAGAGTAACTTCGCCATATTCGCGGTGGAACTCCATTTCGGAGCTTCAACATCAAACACCAGTTCTAGGCTTCAGCAAAGGTAACCTGTATTCAAACATAAAATGCCAGTTCTAGGCTGCAGTTTCGTCCAATAAAAAAGCCCTAAGGGTGCCAATTCGCGCTTCCCGTATTCCACTCTACCAATTTTTGATTTTAGGTAAATCATTAACTAATTATATTGATATTCTTTATTATATTTATTTTAGGACAATATATCTGAAACTTTGCCCCTTTTGTCCCTCTCAATTTATCTGCAGTCATGGAAGAACAATTTATTCTGAGAGTTCCACCTTCTGTTGCTGAGCGAATTGACCGCCTTTTGAGTGAAAATGCTTCTTCTTCAGAAGACAAACTGGATTTATCTTTTTCTGGTAATTTTTTTCTTTCGAGTTCTAAGTTCTGTTGCTCATATGCCTTATTTACAGTTTTAGAACTTTGCCACGAATTTGACATGTAGGCATTTAGTGACAGAGGCCGAGCTAGGATTTGAATTTTATAGGTTCTAAATTCTAGGATAGTGACATAGAGTGTTAGCAGTGGGGTTTTGAATTTAAGTTTATAATACATATTTACTGAATTTTTAAAAATATATATAGGGTTTTAACTAAAGCTACTGAGTTCTGACAACCTGTACCTGCCCTTCTAGCTCCACCCTTGGCATTTACACTTTTCAGATTTAGATGATCTTTCCTTATTTCACTTTCTATGGGTTCATATTTGGTCACTCACTGGTACTTCTGTTTTTCCTCAGCCTTCTTGTATTGGCAATGGTTTCCCTGAGCCGTTAGGTTTTAGAGAATCTGCGATTTGTCTTTAAGGTAAATTAGAAAGAGCGGAACAGATATATGTGATTCATGCAGCCGATTCTAACTTATTTTTCATTGAGGTGTAGTTGATTTTGTTGATGGAGTGAATGGTTCTCAAAACAACTGTTTTATTCTCTGGGGTTTTCTGGAAAATTTATACTAATGATGCTCCAAAATATTGTGGTGCTTAAAAAGGTTATCTATAGAGCACAATCCATTGCGTCATGGTTTGATTTTTTGCAACTTCAAACCAATTTGGTGTATGCATGTAACGAAGACACCATCTGATTGTGTGATTTATGAATTGTTTTACCCATTGTTCACTTGCTATCTCAGCTTCTTTCGCTTATGCTGATGAGTGAAAACATTTAGATGTACTCATTGTAATTAAGCACAATTGATGTCTTGTCAAATCTGGTTCCGTATGTTTCGATCCATGGCGTGCTGGTGTGTTTAAGTCCTTCTGCATCGTGTTAGTGAGCTGGAGTAGACTTAGTTAACCTAACAACAGCAGCCTTTCATGCTAGCTAGCTGCTCTTTTCTCCATTTTGTCCAAGTATTAGATTATACTAAGATATGTTGTCACTGATGTTATATGGATTTTTCATCTACTTTATCAGAAAGGACTAAGGGTATTTTGATCATAATGCAGTGCATTCATTCCATTAAATCATAGAGAAGCATAATTTTATCTTAGTTAGGTCAAAATACACATGGATGCAATCCTGTCACGACCCGGATTTCCCACCCTCGGGGTCGTGATGGCGCCTACTCGTAGAAGCTAGGCAAGCCACAAATCATAAACTCCTAACTCTTTTTATTTTAAATCCTTTTATCAATCATGACAGCAAATGTTAAGTATTTAAATAACAGCGGAATATGAAATTAAAGCGGAAGACTTAAATTAAATAAACTGAACAATAATGCGGAATTCAACACCTGCCTCTACCCAAGAACTGGTGTCACAACATTCACAGACTACTAAGAGTACTAAATACAACCGTTTGAAAGAAATATAACACTGTTTGTCTCGAATACATGAGATAACAGAATGAAATATAAGATAGAAGAGACGCCGGGCCTGCGGACGCCTGCAAGGCTACCTCGGTGTCTCGGTGGAGTGAAGGCTGGCTCCCGAGCTACTGCAGCTATCCGGTACCTGGATCTGTGTATTAGAGCACAGAGTGTAGTATCAGCACAACCGACCCCATGTGCTGGTAAGTGCCTAGCCTAACCTCGGCGAAGTAGTGACGAGGCTAGACCAGACTACCACATAAACCTGTGCAGTTATTTATATACAGCGGAACAGAGATACAGAGATAACCAATCAATATGGGAGGGGGAGCATGCTATGGGGAAAGATAACAACACCGAGTAAAAGTCATCTAGTAACGAAAGAAGCAACATAACTCAGAAATCAATAAAGAATCAAAAATCAATAAATGCACGGCATCACCCTTCGTGCTTTGACTCTCGTCCTCACCAAGCAATGATATAATAGAAACGTGCACGGCATCACCCTTCGTGCTTTTACTCTCTTTCCTCACCAAAGCAATTATATGATAAAATGTGCACGGCATCACCCTTCGTGCTTTTACTCTCTTTCCTCACATATAAACAATAGAATCGGCACGGAATGGTACATCGTGCGGCACGGCATCACCCTTCGTGCTTTACACTCTTTTCTCACAATAACAAACAATGCACAGCATCACCCTTCGTGCTTTAACACTCTTCCTCACCCAAACAACAATCACAAACAACAATCACAAACAAGGGGCAAGGGAATAAGCAAAATAATAAAACCCGGCAAGGGAACACAATTAACCAATTAAATCCCGGCAAGGGTACAACATTAACAATCTCCACAAAGCAACAATATCCCGGCAATGGAATAATTTAATAACTCTTTCTCTTTCTTTCACTTTTATTTCATCACTCACTTTACCACTTGAGCCAATGCTCCAAAGGGTTCAATCATCTCATATACTTTCACAATTCATAATGTAACTCGAGCCTCTGCTCCATGATGTTCAAAGGTCTCAATTCCTTCCACAAACTTTTCACAACAACTAGAAATCATCACCAAAGCATGAAGAATACAATGAAATCAAGATATTCACAATAGAAGGACTCACGGTCATACTAGACACCAACGTATAGATACTCGTCACCATGCCTATACGTCGTACACGACTAATACCACATAGCAAATAGGACTCAACTCCTAGTCCCTCAAGCTAAGGTTAGACCAAACACTTACCTCGATGCCTTGAACACAACTCAAGTCTCAATTATAGCTTTACCCTTTGATTCCACCGCCGATTCGCTCGTATCTAATCACAAATTACTTAATTACATCAATAAACGCTAAATGAATCAACCCCAATGCATGAAAATGAGTTTTCCAAAGTTTTACCCAAAAAGTCAAAAATCGCCCCCCGGGCCCACGTGGTCAAAACCCGAGGTTCAAACCAAAACCCGATTACCCATTTCCCCAAGAACTCAAATATATAATTTATTTTGAAATCGGACCTCAATCGAGGTCAAATCCCCCAATTTTTTTGAAAAACCTAGGTCCTACCCAAAGCACCCAATTTCCCCCATGAAAATTGTTGATTTTGAGTTGAAATCATGTTAAAAGGTGTTAAGGATTGAAGAAAACTAGTTAGAAATGACTTACAATTAATTTTGGAGAAGAAAGGTTGTTTGAAAATCGCCTCTTATGTTTTAGAGTTTTGAAAAATGAAAAATAGCTGAGAATCCGTCTATTTATACCCCTGTCGGACCCCCTGTGCGGACCGCACAAAATGGACAGCGGCCGCGCAGCCCTGTGAACCTGAGGGCCTGTGACACTGTGCGGACCGCACAAAATGGAGTGCGGCCGCACTGCACCCACCGCGCCCGCACAATAGCAATCGCAGACCGCGTTGGCCCCCTCCTCCGCTCACCGCACAAAGGCGTCCGCGGACCGCGCTGGAGGGTTCAGAGAACTAAGATTGCTCTGAACCTGCAATATCTGTGTTTTTAAGCCTAAGACCTTCCGGAACTTACCCGAAAATCCCCCGAGCCCTCGGGGGCCCTAACCAAACATGCGCACATCCTCAAAAACATCCTACGGACTTATTCGCGCGATCAAATCGCCAAACTAACATTATAAATATCGAATTAAACCTCAAAAATTCAAAAATTCTTTCAAACTTCATAAAACATCAAATTTTCCATTTTGGGTCCGAATTACGTCAAACGGCGTTCGTTTTCAACCAAATTTCACAGGAATGTCATATATAAGACCTGTACCGGGCGCCGGAACCAAAATACAAGCCCGATACCAACACGTTTTAATCAATTTTCATTTTAAATTTCCTTTAACAATTTTAGAAAACAATTTTTTCAAAAAAATTCATTTCTCGGGCTTGGGACCTCGGAATTCTATTCCAGGCATACGCCCAAGTCCCATATTTTCCTACGGACCCTCCGGGACCGTCAAATCACGGGTCCGGGTCCGTTCACCCAAAACGTTGACCAAGGTCAAATTTATTCATTTTAACATCAAAACTTAGCATTTTTCGCAAAATTTCATATTTAAGCTTTCCGGCTATGCGCCCGGACTGCGCACGCAAATCGAGGCGACTCTAAATGAGATTTTTCAAGGCCTCGGGGACACAGAATTCAATTAAAAACAGGTGATGACCCTTTGGGTCGTCACATTCTCCACCTCTAAAACAACCGTTCGTCCTCGAACGGACAAAAGAAGGAAGTACCTAAGTCGGGGAAAAGATGAGGATAACGGCTCCGCATATCAGACTCGGACTCCCAGGTCGATGCCTCAGGAGGCTGACCTCTCCACTGAACACGAACAGAAGGGAAACTCTTCGACCTCAACTGACGAATCTGTCGGTCTAGAGTAGCTACCGGCTCCTCCTCATAAGACAAGTCCTTGTCCAACTGGATAGTGCTGAAATCTAACACGTGGGCTGGGCCGCCGTGATACCTCCAAAGCATGGACACATGAAACACTGATGCACAGCTGATAAGCTCGGTGGCAATGCAAGTCTATAAGCTACCTCTCCCACTCGATCAAGAATCTCAAATGGACCAATGAACCTAGGGCTACTCTTGCCCTTCTTCCCAAATCTCATCACGCCCTTCATAGGCGACACTCGAAGCAATGCCCGCTCACCGACCATGAAAGCCACATCTCGAACCTTGCGGTCTGCGTGACTCTTTTGCCTGGACTGAGCTGAACGAAGCCTATCCTAAATGATCCTGACCTTGTCCAAGGCCTCCTGAACCAGATCCGTACCCAACAATCGAGCCTCTCCCGGCTCAAACCATCCAACCGGAGACCGACACCGCCTACCATATAAGGCCTCATAAGGAGCCATCTGGATGCTCGACTGGTAGCTGTTGTTGTTAGCAAACTCCGCTAAAGGCAAAAACTGATCCCACGAACCTCCAAAGTAAATAACACAAGCTCGGAGCATGTCGTCCAAAATCTGAATAATCCGCTCCGACTAACCGTCCGTCTGGGGATGAAATGCTGTGCTCAACTCAACCCGTGT